TCACCGCCTGGGTTTTATATGCAGAGTAAAACAGATTGAAGCCTTATTCTCATCCTGCCCTTAGCTACACACATTTCTGCACATTTTCCCTGTAGGTCTGGAGATGCTGAATTGATGCAACTGAGTTTTTTTTTTTTCTTTTGGTTTGTTTGTTTGTTTTCTTCAATTCTTTTTCATTCCTTTCACACCTCCCACTCTCCTATCTATCCCCCCGGTCATATTTTTTCCTCTGGTTTGCCTGCACTGCAGAGCGTACCTCTACCCTTGTCTCTGTTTATGCAAGCTCATGCCAACCCAGCCTCCTCATGCCATGAGTATCAGGAGATCACCACTAGCAGGTGCTGAAGGCTGTGGACTCGTTAGTGGTTGTAGGAAGACTTTTAAAGTAGAGAGAGACTTCCAGAAGGTGAGTCAATGCAGGAGCTTGGTGGTATGAATGGCTCTGCAAGGAGTTCTTCTGTAGTCAGTACCACTAAGCTAAATGCAGCCTTACAAACAGCCTCTCTCTGCTCCGTATCCCAGACGGTGGTTCACATGGATGCCTCTGACAACCATATGCAGTGTCTGCATTGGCTCCTTCGTGGATGTGGGAAGCAGCTGAGCGTGCTACTTGGAAAGCCAAGAGTGTCCCATCAGAAATTAAATCAGTGATGAGTTGCTAGAGTGCTTACTTGGTCCTTGGAATATAAAGAACCTTTAAAAGAGCCTCTGTAGCCAAAGCATCGTTCTGCTGGCTCGTTCCCTGAGAGAGCGACACAGAAATGGAGCATCTGTTCTATTATTGATGGGAGCGCGCTGCATCGGGATCAAAGCAGAAAGCCACTTGCAGAATCAAACTAAGATCAAAGAGTCCTATGTACAGGGAGGGCCCATTCCTCCTCCTGCTGACAGGGGTGTTAGCCTTCTCCAGCTCCAGGCATGCTGCTTACAGCAGTGCTTAATTAGGCAGCTAAGTAAGGCGGAGGCTGCGTGTGCAGGAGAGGGTGTAGGGGCCCCAGGAATGTAAAGCGAGGAGGAGGCTTCACCATGATTGATTYCTGTTGCCTCTCACAAGTCGTTAGATCTGGACTGTGTACTTCTGCAGGAGGAGGGCCTTTACTACATCCTTTGCTTCATTTTCTGACCTCTTATGTGCAGTTTGACTTACTAGGCTGGGATGTGTGTATGCATATATCTATATTTGCATTTGTGCATACCCAGGGGGATTCAAGCTCTCATTCCTTAGGCAGCTCTGAAAAATCCTTATCCCAGTAGTTATGCTAAATTTGAAATTTCTTTCTCCTTCTCCCTACTGCCTCCCTCYTTTCTCATTAATGCAAAGCCACATTCTTGCAACTCTTAATTTTGAACTGTTTAAACATGTAACATTTGGTTGAGTTTTCCTACCCTGTGTTTTCCTGGGCTTACAGAYTCATGTATTTATATGTACCCACCTGTGTTTTAGGACACAGGTGTAAAGATGCACCCACATAGCATCTTGGATAGGTGGACATGTGCATGTGTAACCATACTGCATTTCTGGGTAGTCCAAGATGTAAAGAAGAGGGGGTGTAGCCTGTAAAGCAAATTTGATCTTTGTTCTTTCAGCCTTCTGTCTGRGAGTGGAAATTACGCTACAGAAACGGCCTCCCATCCCAGTGCTGTATTAACCCCCCAGCCTGTTCGTGCTGGTGGAGGAAGCCTGTGTGTGTATTTGGTCTCCCAGCGCTGCTGTCATCCTGGCTAAGCTTATTTGTCAGAAATGGCAGTTCGTGTTCTCCCCAGCTGTAGCCCTGCAGGTGCCACTTAGCTTTGCAAAGTGAGTCCTTGTCTCTAAGTGCAGCCTGCCGCTGTGCACCCCAGGCCAAAGAGCAGCCAAGGGGCACGGGGATGCATGTGGCAAAGGCAACACTAAGGAGGTGGCTTAGGCCGGGGTTTAGCAGTGCAGAAAGAGAAGAGCGTGGGGTGAGGGGAACGTTTCCTGCAGGCCTGGGCTCAGTGCTGCCCCCTCAGCAAGAGAAGTGCCTGGGGACCTCAGCTCTTGTGTCCCCTCACAGAAACCCCTCCACATCATTCAAATTGAAGGGGATGCTGTGGTGCTTTGAAAGGGGGAGGATATTATGGGACCGGGGGCATAGGGGGCTCCAGGGCAAGAGCAGGGCTCTGGCAGAGCCGGGTGGCATCACAGGGAGTGTAGCTGAACAAGAGCAAGTTCCTCCGCTTGCTTTCAGGACAAATGACTCTTTCATGGTTATTTTAGTTATTAACAGAGCTGTGATCAGTTTTTCTCCCGTGAATGTTTGTTTTGCCAAGTTAGGCTCACTTCCAGAGTGAGGAAGTTATTACACGTTCGCTTTGATTTTTTAGAGCTTCTTATAAGCATAATGGAAAATTCTCAGCTGTATTGAAAATCATTATCACAGTGAAGTAATTATGCATGTTCTGTTTTGGCACTCTTATTATTCTGCAGGATGTTTACAGTCAACTAATAGCAAATATTAAGACTAATGACAGGGTAGTTAGGTATGAAAATCACATCATCTTGATGCCTGAGTGACTGACATAACTAACCCTGCAGTGCAAAATGCAAACACCAGATTTCCAACAAAGTCCCTATTAGTGAATACTCACACTTAAGTATCTCTTTTCTTGTGAAGCAGAATTTTATTGAGTGGGTGTTTCTTGGAGCGGACTATGGAGCTTTGAAGGGATGCAGCTGAAGATTGCATGTTGCTCTTCTAAACTGATGAATATTTGGGGGGATGGTTCTCATCTCATGGGAGGCATCTCATTAAACCAACATTGAACATCTCAGAAGAACCATTGGCTCCGTATTAAAGGGAAGGCTTAATCCAAGAAAAGCCCAAATTATTGTGATTTTCTACACACAGTTTAGCACAAGGATAGTTGGGCTGAAGAGTTGTGCCAAGGTAGCCTTCAGAGTGMGGCCAGCAGAACAGAGAGCCCCTCATCAGGGTCATATTCAGTAAGAGCCGTCTCTGAAGCTGACATGGGTCACTTCTGCTTTTTCAGCTATTAACACTGCTTGAGTGGCCATAAGCAAATTAGGAGTCCAAAACCACTCCCAATCTGCCARCCACAGTAGCAAGTGAAAGGCAGATGCCTTGTAATAAAGGTCATACTTATTACTGGCCCTTCAAATTATTTCCTTCCGCTTGCTGCTGACAGCCCCTCATAGGAGATTGATGGATTAAGCTTCCACCAGCTGTTCCTTCTCCAGGCACCTAATTCTTTTAGATATTAGGATGAAAGCTGGACTGTTTCCCCAGAAAGTCCCAAAATGTGTATTTTCAAATAAGTTCTCGAACTGGAAATACAGTCTGATTTGGGTTTTCCTGCAAACTAGTAAACTCATGTCTTTCACGCGGAGAGATTAAAAATGACATTTTGTTTGTCTCTGTTTTGAAGCATTTCTGAGCCCTCATGAGTTCAAGGCTCCATATATTTATGGAGCCTTGAAGCGTGCAAGGAAGATGGGGGATAGGGAGGAAGGGAGAACAGTGGCAAGTTCACAGAATCACAGAATGGTTGAGGTTGGAAGGGACCTCTAGAGATCATCTAGTCCAACGCCCCTACTGAAGCAAGGACACCCAGAGCATGTGGCACAGGGCGGCATCCAGGCAGGTTTGGAAGTTCAGAGCAGATTGCTGAGGATCTGCATAGCCTTTGGATATTCCAGCTCCAGAGCAGCTTGTGCAAACACAGGAACACAACATAGGTGCCATTAGGCAGGCTGGGAGACATCCCAGCAGATAAGCATGAAGACCACTCGGCTTTTTTTTTCTGAGAAATTAGCCTATTTGATTTCTTCACAGTACAGATAGAAACCTGTTCTCATGAGGTGTTCTCAGCTCCACTTTCAGCAAGCAAGTGCCTCCCAGCAGAAAATAGAGACTTTGCCGACAGCCCTTCCTTGGGCCAGCCAAGAGAACAGAGCAGTCCACAGATTTCATCTGGGTGCTGTTAATTTTCTCATATTGCCTCAGAGCTTGAACACTTTTTGCCGTCTTCTCTAGCAGCCCCCCACATGCATTGAACAAGAAGGCAGAAAACTGACAAGTAGGAATGTGTCTGGAGTCAACATTTTGCTGTGGGGAAAAGTGGCTAAAGAAATTTTAGTGCTACTCAAAAATGGAGGTCATGGCTCCTTTGTTGGTTTCATTTGATGAGATTTTGGCTGTATGTATAGAGATTTTACCTTATGTGATTTGCAGTCTAAACACTGCAGCGTTAAGTTGCCACACGAGGAAGCTGGGACTTGCCAGGCTTTGTATCCTGTCTAGCCTGTGTGTAATGAAAATAAGCAATAAATGGCAGAAATACTAGAAATAAGCTAGGTCTGATCAGATCTTCTAATATTATTAGCCATTTGTTTTTTTTTAAACAGTTGTAATGAAATACCTGGTCTGGAATTGGATTGTTAACTCTTTAAATTGAAAACGACATGAAAATGTTCRTGTTCACACTAGGTTTTGTGAGGAGCAAAAGTGGAGGGGGAATTGTGTGCCTTCTTTAAAATTATACATTCTCTCATCCTACCTCGTGGTGAAGATTTTCAGCATACAGTTTTCTTTTCTATTTCAGTGATGCTGGATATCATTAAGATTGATGAGTTCAAAAATATATTTCATTATCTCTTAGACACAGCTTGACTGCTCCTATAGCTCCTTTCTTGTCTCCAAGTTCAAAAATATATTTCATTATCTCTTAGACACAGCTTGACTGCTCCTATAGCTCCTTTCTTGTCTCCAAAGCAAAATCTGTTGTTTTCAGAGGGTTTGAAATTAAAGTCATCTCACCTAAAAGGGCAACCTGTGCACATTTGGAAAGGTTCTGCATGAGAGCAACCTGGCCTGTGTGAGGGAGCAGTGTATTTCATTTTAGCCTGAAGTCATCCATAAGGGACAGTTTYATAACAACAGGATGCTGCTGTCATGAATTGCATGTGCGTGGGGCCACCTGAAATGTTTAAGCAACACATCCTTCTCTTTCCAGGTCTCGTGTGTCCTCTAGAAGTGTCAGTCAGTTCAGGGAGTGTCCAGGTTGCCCGGGGCCAGACAGCGGTATTGCCCTGCACCTTCACCACAAATGCTGCTCTCACTAACCTTAATGTCATCTGGATGGTCATTCCTCTTTCTAACGCCAATCAGCCTGAACAGGTAGGTCCTTTCTCTCTTGTGCGTGGAGTTTTAGGAAGCTTTTCTTTTCCTCACCCTTTTTTCACTGATCTGATGGAGTCCTTGTACAAAATTGAGCCGGCGACTCCCAGAGCATTCCTTTCATTGCTGAAAGGACCTTRCATGAGTCTGAGGCAGCTTACGTGAATCTGACAGTCTTAACAGTGTTTTTTTAATTGATAGTGTGTATTGTGTCCTCAGTTTCCTTGTTGAATGTGCAGTTGGGCAAGTGTATGGGATACAGTATGGCTGCTCTGGATCTCTGGTGGGTTTTGTATTCAAAGGAGCACTTGAAGTGTAATCCAGCTTTTGGTGCACTGGAAATGAGTGTATCATGCTATTCTGTTGTGAGATCCAATATCTCTCACTGAAAAGTTCTTGCTCCTCAGTGGTTTAGTACCTCCATGTAAGCTGTCTGGTTGGTAGAGGTCACACCGGTTCAGAGCTTGCATTACCTTGTCCTTCAGTTCATCCTAGCGATCTTCAACAAGCAATGTCAAATCACGGCAAGGTATTCCTGGCTGAAAGCCAAGATGATGCTATCCACTAGTTGGATGCTTTCAGCAAAGTACTCATAGACCTGAGGAGTAYTTTTGTCTCTCTGTAATCCTGTGCAGATGAATAACCAATATTACATGAAACAAGTCAATATTGCCAAACCAGTGTTACCAGAAGACTTGGGTCCCAGGAACTGGTCCTTTCAGCTTTTGAAGCCCATGTTTTGCTTGCTGCTTTCCCTCTTTGCCCATCCCTTGTAGAGTGTTGTTTGAACCTTTCTTTCTTTTCCAGGTTATTCTCTACCAAGGGGGTCAGATCTTTGGTGGTGCACCCCAGTTCTATGGGAGAGTGGGGTTTGCTGTGACAATGCCAACCACCAGTGCCTCCATCTTCATCAACAACACTCAGCTGTCAGATACTGGTACATACCAGTGTTTGGTCAACAATCTTCCCGACCGAGGTGGCAGGAATATTGGAGTCATTGGACTCACTGTTTTGGGTGCGTGTACTGGAGTTTTGGGGGACGGGGGAGGAACAGTGTCAAAGGGATCCTCTGTGCATGATGGTGCTTAGTGGATGGATATGGTGGTGTGTGTTGGAGCACATGGAYATAGAGCAGGAAGGAATGGGTTGCCTTGTTGGTATTGTGGGAGTTTACAGGGCATCTGTCCTCATATGTAAATGGCATATCATAGAGCTGTAAAATACAGTGGAGGGAAAGTTTTTGAGGCAAGACTGTGATGTGGGATTGCAAGAAGCACTTGGAATGCTAAGGGGAACATAAGTTTTGAGCATAACAAGGGTAGAAGAGAATGAACTTTTTGTCTTTGCCTCYGTTTCCTGCCAACAGTTAATATTGGATCCTCCCCAGGATGTTAAGTACTCCAGAGCATGTGCCATTATGGAGCTATGAATGCAAAACTCAACTGCAGCAAATTCTGTTTGTAGATTGGTTTGGTCTTGCCACTCAGGGAGGTTCACCTTTTTATTCTGTGGGAATGAATCTAGGAGAGGTGGGTCTGAACAAGTCAGCAATAGTCTGACTGGCTAGTCAGGAATCTTTGTGCAGTACCACCACCCAAACCTTAGAGGGTGCTTGTCTGCTGTCTCCCTTTTGGGCTTTGCCTCCCTCTTACCTCCCTTCAGCTCATGCGAATGTCCTTGCTTTCCCTAGCAGTATGTATGCAGAAAAGACCTGCACCCTGCTGTTTGGCTGTATCTCCTGATCTGCTCTCATTTTTCCCTCTTCTGTCATTGTAGTTCCTCCTTCTGCCCCACTCTGCAGAATCCAGGGGTCCCTGGATGTGGGCAGCGATATCACACTGACCTGCAGCTCAGAAGAAGGCATCCCCCGGCCAACATACCTCTGGGAGAAACTGGACAATGTACCCAAGTTGCCCCCAACTGCCACACAAGGTGCTCGTTTTGTTGGTTTTCCTCTTACTTCCCAGGTGGTTTGCCTGGGCTTTCCTTTGTCCAAGCTGCCAGAGGTGACACAGCTCATTGAATGTCTGCCATCATTTGCATGGTTACTTGTTTGGAACGAAGATTCCTGCAGCACTGGAACTTGGGGTGGACTAGATACCCTCCACTGAACATTTACATTTCATTATTTTGGGGGTAGATAACCATATTTCCCATTGAGGAGAAAGAGATCAGTCAAGTGGGAGAGAAAAAAATGGTTGCTAGACATTCGCACATGGCAGAGATATCAGCTGCTGGCTCACCTGCATTTCAAACTAAAAWAAGACTCATAGACTGGAAAATGGGAGAAGGGAGACAAAAGCAACCCCCCAAAATCCTGCCAGGTTTTYACATTGTTCCAGTATGTTACTGGTGGAGCTGCCTTTCAGATGTGTGTAAAAGCAAWGCTCTGATCAAACTGGGCAGGGTATGGGCCAGCCCTAAGTCACAACCATCAGATTTATTAGCCTAGATGACCTGACCAAATAGTAATAGCTGTACTCTTCYCCTTTAACTTACCCTGTTCTAAGAATCTATAAGAATGTTAGTCTTAGATAACCCAGGCCTGAGGAAAATTGGCMGAGCAGGCAATGTAAAGCTTGGGGGTGGGAGGGAGAGCAGGGGTGCTGCAGGGCAGGACTAAATTTGCCAAGCAGACATGGGGATAGGGCATTGCATATCTCTCATTTCCTCCCTTCTTTCACACAATGATATGAGTCCCAAGCTTTAATTTGCAGAAACTCATCTATARGAAGAAAAAGAAACATCTAGTGTAAGCTCCTTAAAACCTAATCTGTGTGTATGCACAATGCTTCCATCTCAAAGTTATTTCCTAATTTGTTTATCTCTTAAGAGTCTCACACCACAATTCTCTATTTGCTGGATTTGCCTTTTCATGGCTTTTGTGAAGCGGGGGAGGGATTTAAATCCTTCTTTTCTCTCTGACTAGACCAAGTCCAGGGCACTGTCACTCTCCGAAATATCAGCACTGTGTCCTCAGGTCTTTACCAATGTGTGGCTTCAAATGCCATTGGAACAAGCACTTGCCTTCTGGACCTGCAAGTCATTGCACGTAAGTATGTTGCCAAGAGAGGTTTTGCCACCTGGTTCTGTCTTGTGACAGTAACGTGTGTAACCATGTTTGCTGTGAGCCACCGTATGCCTCTCCATCAGAAGATCATTGTACCCTGGAATGGGGACAYTGCCTTTGCCCCCTCCGAAGCCTTGGTGGCTTCAAATACTCATGGACAGCTACAGCCCGATCCTGATGTCTTCTCCATTCTCTGTTCAATCCTTCTCACAGCCCATCCCCGGAGCATCGGCCTGATTGCTGGAGCAGTGGCCACGGGTGCTGTTGTGCTAGTTGTCTGCATTGTCTTGGTGGCCGTGGCGCTGTTTTACTGGAAAAATAAACACAAAGAGGAAGAAGAAGAGGAGATTCCCAATGAGATAAGGTAGGGATTAAGGAAAGCTGGTGTTAGTGAATCTTTTCTCTCTCAGCAAAGCCGTAGCTGGCAGAAAGGCACATGGCAGTCCCTACTTGTTAATCATGAATGTGTTTTGTGGACTAGGGGAGGTGTCTGTATCTGTCCAGAAAAAAAGGCAGGAACAAATGGAGAACAGTAACAACTGAWTTTTTTTCACCCTTGCCTTTGTTAAGGACCTTGGTGTGAAACTGCTAGCCCCATAGGAGAGTGATTCCACACATAGCAGGGATCCTGACCCTCAGTACTGGGTTGTGATGAAGAGATCTGGGGAGACAGGTGTGACCTTCTCCAGTGTTACAGACAGTGTGTCCCTCTGGTAGCTTCTCACAGCTTCCCTGAGCATTAACTTCATTGGTTGCTACAGGTACAGTTATATTGACAATGTAGTATTGTGATTGTGACACCCATCGTTTTTGCCCTCTAAACATGAGAGATGGGTCCTACAAAGAGGAGTGAGTAAACAGGCGAAGAAGCAATGCTTGTCCTTCACCTTAGGTTGACAGCATTGCTACTGGTGAGGAGGGACATGGGGAAATGGAGCAGCACCCTGACCGCCCCTTCACACTCTCTCCTTTCCTAGGGAGGATGACCTGCCACCCAAGTGCTCCTCCACCAYGAAAACATTCCATGCCGATGCATCCTCATCCGAAAACGACACCCTCACCTCTTCCAACACCTACAACAGCCGTTACTGGAACGACCCCAAAGCCAACCATGCCACAGACTCCTTCACCCGCTTCAGCAACAACAACGACGTGCGTCAGCCCCCCTTCTCCCGCTCGGGTAGCACGAGCACCCGCCCCATCTACGCCAATGGAGGGCACCCATCCCCGGCTCCCCCTAAGACGCTGGTGGTAACGGCCAACACGGCCCCATCCCCTCAGGARGTGGTGAGGAGCAATGGCTCAGTGAGCAGGAAGCAAAGGCCGCAGCACACGCGCTCCTATGCAGTGAGCCAGGCAACACTGGAGCGCATCGGGGCTGTTCCTGTCATGGTGCCTGCTCAGAGCCGGGCCGGTTCCCTCGTGTAGGGCGCTTGGGCAGGCAAAAACACAGCAAGAAGCTTCATGTACCAAGTGGGGTGAGGACATGGGCAAGAGACCCTCCTACTCCTTGAAAAATGTGGTGAGATGGGGGGAGATGCRCCTCTCCCCGCTGCCCTTCCCCCTCCCAAGACTGTTGCTGGCTGGTGGGACAGCCCCGGCCTTGCCACTTTGCCCCCCAGGTTTTGGGGGCTTTTCCACACTGGTGGATCTCACAGATGTGCCAAGGCCACAGGAGAAGGGTCCTAGGGGCATTGCTGTGCTCGCCCTGACTGCTGGGCCCCAGCAGGGATGCACACTCGGCCCTAATCTCTGGGGAATTTGTTTTCTTTTTTTCAGTTTTTTTTTTTTTTTTTTTTTTTTGTAGGAGGGGTTGTTTATGATCATTTGGTGATTTCAGGGAAGACTGGGAATATATCTATTTTTTTCTGTTGTTGTTGCTGTTTTATTTTCAAGAGGACAACAGACTGTGTTGGAGTGGGAGGGACAAACATGTCTGGGAGAGGCAGAGAAAGGGTTGAGGAGGGAAGGGGCACTCAGAAGAAATATGCATCAGCCTTGGTGACCACAGTCCCCTTCCCAAAGCCCTGTCCCTGCTCCTGGATGAGGGAGGGCAGTGGGACAGGGACAATCATGAGGAGACAAAGGCTGAGGGAGCCCCAGGCCTGAGCAGTCGGTCAGAAGCAGAACCACCAGCCAGGCCAAGGGAGGAAGGCTGGGCAAGGCTATGTGCTGGAGAGTGGTTTTCTTTATTTATGTTTTGCAATTCTTACCCTCTGCCCTCTGACACACACACGGACATGCGCACACACATGTCCTTAATACACTGGATTTTTTCCTGCACTAGTTCTGGGTGCCTCTGGGCATCCTTCTCTGTGTAGTTCTGTGTGGTAGGAGGGTGCGTTGCTCCTGCTGCTGCTGTAGGACTCAGCATTTTTTGCTGCCTGTGTTTTTCAGAGGCAGAGAGGAGCACAGTGGGGTGGGAAAGCAGCAGGCAGGTCCTACAGGGCTGGCCAAAGGCTTGTGGACTTCTCTGATTCTGGGCAAGTGGCTTCAACACCCAAAAMTTTGGTGACTGCATGGCAGGTTTTCCTCAACAGGCTATCCAGGGCTGGCCTGCATGGCAAGGCATGTTTTATGCTTGGAGTCCTCACACTGAGGACCACAGATTTTGTTTCCTCTCTCCCACACACACTCACTTCTTAGATGCTGGGGTTGGCAGGACTTACCTCCAAATCCCTTTGCTTAGAAGCCGTGAAATCAGGGGCTTACCTGAGGGGATAACCCCAGGGAAGCCCATACACTCTCTCTCTCTGCCTCTACTGCTCCCCACAGTGTCCCAGGGCCAGGCACCCGTGGCACCTGCTGGTGGCTGTGCCATCACCTCACAGCCAAGGTGATGGCTGTTGCTGGCATCTATTACTTTTTCTATTGCAACTAAATAGCCTTAATCAAAGCCAAGAGTTGAAACTGCTCAAGGGGCCTGGTGCCAGTGGAGGGCTGGTCTGAGGGGCTGGCACTTACCCTCCTAGGAGAGCCCTGGGTCCAAGCAACCAAGCTTGGATCGATATCCCTGCCCTCTTGCACAACACTAGCTCTTATACATGTTAAAGCACTGCTCACCTCCACGAGCACCAGAACACTGGGGACAGTGTTCTGGAATAGCAGTGTCAGGGATCACAGGCTGCTTTCTGTAGCTCTCACCTTAGTAAAGGCTCTTCCTATTCCTCCCTTTTCTTATCCCGGCACGCTTTACTTTCTCTACCAGTGCACAAGCTTTGAGCAGGGCCTTCTGCCTGAGCTGCACCCTTCACGTGTAAGCACAGACTCTGAGGAAGAGGTGGAGGCGAGGGCTGGGTTCCCCCATGGGCACATGGGCTTCTAGGGGGCTTGGGGGCTCCTGGGCTGTGCAGGGTTTGAAGCTTGGCTGAGATTTTGTGCCTTCTTCACTAAAAACAATAAAAATATCCAACCTCCCTTCCTCCGCCCTCCTACACACCTCTGTCCAGAATGAGTACAATACCCTCAGCAGTGTGGACAGGCGATTGCTCTGAGCTTGTGCACACATTTCACCGGAGCAGTTGTCCTTCCTCTCCGTCTGCTGTCTGTGCTGCTGCTGGTAGGACTGGTGGTGTTTTGGGGGGATAAGATTGGCTTTTGAAACCATAATGTGTGGAGGAAAACATCAGTCAAAGCAAAGCCGGGACATGATGTTCTCTCTGCTTTTGTAGCCACTTCTGTGTGACATTTACCGGAACTCTGCCCTCAGCAGGCCCACTCCTCTCTACTGGGAAAAGCTCTTCTGGTTCTTACCCTCCATGAGACTGTTTGCTCCTCTCTCTTTGTTCTTTCTAATTGTCTAAAATTCAATAAAACTTTATTCATATAAAAGGTCTTTTTACTACCTGCTGCTACCTTTTTTTTTTTTTTTTCCATCTAATGCTGTCGTTACAATGATTTGGCTGGTGGTACTTATCCTTGATATGAGTGACAGAGTCCATGCAATGTTATTAGACCAGCCAGTCTGGTGATGAACAATAGCCTTGTTTTGCTCATTCTTAACAGTCTGACATATTGCCTTAAAGATACAGTTTCAAATTCTGCAAAGCTTCTGTCTGATTCTCTACAAGAAGGTAAGTTTTGTTTTTATGCCATTTTGGAGGAAATCCTGTGTGCTGTTTGGAGTGATGTGGGAGAATGTTTTTTAAAATTGCCAACCTTTTCCCATGTCTTGATTTGCTGATCTGAAACATGGAATGTTTTTAGTCATCCTGAGGAGTGGTTCACTGGTTAAGACTGGTCAAAATCTAACACAGTCACCAGGAAAGTCCTCTTCTCTTTCTTGGGAAGAGCATGCATAGGTATGCATATGTGGTAGATATGGTGGGAGAAATTGTAAGAAAGGTGATGTAGTCCAGAACATCATGAGTGGAAAATGTAAGGGCTCGAGCATTCACGCTTTCAGGGAATCTAGGGAACACACACCTCTCAGTCCATGCCAAAGGTTGCTAGCAGAAGACTATTATTAGTTAAGTCAGTCTGATGTTTTGCCAGAAAGTCTGATGTTTTGCATTTTTCTCTCAGTGTTTCATTTTCTTCTTTTTTTTTTTTCTCTAAAATAACCCACATACTCTAAGAATGATCGTTAAAAACAGAAACCTAGAGATCCAGCAGCTGCTCTAATTCAGCGGTGCTGCACATACTTTGTGTCCCCATTCCCTGGTATTTGTTTTCAACACTTACCTTAAAATACTCCTGTGAATGTGCTTTTAGCTATGAGTCTTAAAGCATATGAGATTGCTGCATTGCCATTTTGGAAAGGTTGCTGTAGGAATACTAATATTTGCATTTTTCATCTTTTGATTGTACATTCATGTAGCATCTTTGCATTTTATCCCCAGGATAGCCTTGTCACTACCCTGCTATACATCCATTCCTTGGCACTGGCTTGCCCTTAGGTCATTCTCCTGCTCACCTTCTTCTATGGATCTTGAGCAGCATTTCCCAAGATACATGGGTGTAAATATTGACTTTTTTTGTGTTTGTGTGGCACCTAGTATGCTGCTGTTTCAGTCTGTAAACTGTATCTAGTGAGACATTACTATAATACCTAGCAGTATAATACCAGTTAGATGTCAGTATCGATAGAGTTCCAGGTCTTTGCTTTCATTAAAAAAGAAAAAAAAAAATAGAATTTTAAGTGGAAGTCCCTTTTGAAATTCCTGAGTTTGCTGACAGCCTTCAACCACAGATGTGCAGTAGGGATTACCCACAACACTAGGGGCTGGGGATGTAATTTGTTTCAATGGGTGTCAGGGATGTTATTTTAAATGCCAGTCCTGCCACTTGTATCACCTCCCGGGAGAGTGTATGAAAAGGAGATGTTTCATAGCATGTTCCAACACAAGGTTGATTTGAGTATATGGATATTGAGGAAGAAAAGTGACCGGGAGGATTCCCTAGACTTCAGCAGCGCACAGATCTCTCAGTAACTTTTTCAAGGTTGGTTGAAAGGAGACCCTGATTTCAAATGTTTGGGAAAACTGATCTGGAGACTGAGAGGAGTTTTTAAAGTTAGACAGGTTTTGGACTGTGTGTTGCTCATCCGTATGAATTAAAGATAAGGAAGTTGGCCAAGAACACTCACTTCAACAAACTCTTGCCAGAACACAGGCAAGTTTCCAGTGGAATCCAGTCTACCAGACAGTGTCCTGACTGGATTCCCCATGAGGATCTGGGGTGTTCAGGAGATCAAGCCTCCTTATGTCATGTTTTAGCTCCCTTCAAGGGCATCTAAAGTTAGGACAGCCTCAGATGACACCCCATACCAGGTTGCTATGTTCCCTATTTGGTACTGAAGAGAAAAAAATAAACTGAAATGTTCTGACCACATTCCCTCCCCCTTCCCCCCTTCCTTCCCCCCCCCCAAAAAAAAGGGAAAAAAGATGAAAGCTTCATGATTGATTTCTGTTTTTCATGTAACACAAAGGTAATTTTTTTGAGATAACCATTTTTCTCTTGGAGGCAACATTTTGCATCACAGCGTGATCTAGTTTGAGTATGCAAGAGCATACGTGAGCTATCTAATTGGGTTCTTTATAGCCTTAGCATTGCTTGTTCATGAGCAAGTAGGAAAATCTGCGTATTTGTACCAACAACAGAACCCACAAAATGGTTCAATAGATTCTCTTAAAGAGGCTCTTTCTCCACATGTGCACAGAACACCATCAAGAGCAACACAGGAGCACCCACAAAATGGTTCAATAGATTCTCCTAAAGAGGCTCCTTCTCCCCACGTGCCTCCACACGTCACAAGTGCAGGGAGGATCATACGCAGAATAGCAGCTCTGTGGTTTTTCTGGTGAGGGGAGCACACGCAGGATGATTCTTGAGCCTGGCATTGGCTCAAGAGCTGGAGTTGGCTTGCAGCTGTTGGAGCTGGCTGGCAGCACAGGGAAAGGTTTGGTTCGGTCACCTGCATGGCCATGCAGCAGGCTGGATGGAAGACACCATGCGCTGAGGGCTTTGGGCATGGAGTATGGAGCTGAAACTTGGGGTTTTCTGACTGAGGATCCAGCATGTTTTCTTTAATGAGTTCCTGCAGACATGACTGCTAATGAAAGTAGGTTTTGTTTTTGCATGGTAAAGGCTCCTTTTCTGTTGGGAACAGTGCTTCCATGCTGGAATGGGACAGAGTGCATGGATGAGACGAGCTTCTAACAAAGCCTTGTAATACCATTTTCTGGTAGTGGGTTGGTTTCCTCTGATTTCATCCTGCCCCTACTTCCCCAGTAAGTTGACTGATTGAGAAAGTGGGTTGTCAGGAAAT